TTTAGGGTATCGTAATCATGATTTGCATAAACAACATGATTCTGGTTTGATAAAATTAATTAAAGTCTAAAACGATAAGTAAAGTATGTAATAATCAGTGACGCAAATAGGTATTTGTAATTAATATATAAGATACTGATCCTAAAATGTAGAGAAGTTTTTTGACCCATAATTACCTTGAGACTTTCTTAGTGAATAACAGTTATTTGTATGTACACATTATTGGTGAAAGGAGCTGTATGATACATGTCTATGTAGACTTAGTAAAGCAAGTATGAAGCGAGTAAAGTCTGTATATAAAAACTAAGAAGTGTGAGATACTCTGTGAAACTAATTTAAATGTTAAATTGCTAAACAATGAATACAAAAAACAGAAATGTTCTCATAAACAATTAGTCAACATAAAATACGAATACGTAGTTATAATTTTCAAAGACAAAAAGAATCAAAACTAAATTAGTGGATTTCAAAGTTAACAAATAAGTGACACATTTCGAAAATAAAATAAGGTTTTTTGATATTAACTTTGAAACCCCTAGTATACTAAAATTTGACAAACAACTTGATAGCATTCTTCATGTTTAATATAGATATGAAGACAAATTCTGACCAGAAAAATTGTACTAGCAAAAAAAGGTAGCTTTTTTAGGATCGACACAAGCTCATGAATTTTCATAAGCTTTTATCACTAATAAATCAAATAATAATTAGGTTAGAAAGACTTATACTAATCCCTAAATAGCTAAAAAGAGATTAGCATTATTTCATTATAAAAATTATAATTTTAAAATTTATCTTAAAATCAGGATTTGTTATATAAGTTATCTATTTGTATTCACATAGCATACATACGTATGTACATACATATGTTCTGTACATTGTAAAAGGTAAGATTGACACTCCATAAACATTACTGTGGAAATTGGTTGTATGAATTCTAAAATTCTTGGTATTCAGTTAATTTTGATTTTAGGCTATAGCAGATATGGAAGGAATTGAAGAATAGTAAGAAAAATTAGAAAGGTAGAGATTAGTAAAATGCTTGTAATGCTGTAATATGTAAAAATCAAATATAAAAAGTGGAGCTTTCCTATCATAAAACATAATCTTTGGTTTGCGCTTCAAAATAATGAACAGTAGAAATCTTTCTGAGTATTATTTTCTCTGCAATTACATAAATTGTTACATTTTCTTGTCCAATAAATTCATACATATCGTTACCCAATTGAAAAATAAGATCAGTAAATACTAGTCACTCTGCACCAATTGTTTTGAAATCCACAGTTTATTTGAAAATTAATTATCGCATTACCTGAGATCTCTATACACTTGCAATCGTGAATAAGATTCACAATCAGAATTATATTTGGAATACTTCTACAGTAACTCTGAGAGAGAAAACATATTTTTAGTATTAAATTAAGACCTAATTAAAGAAACAAGTAAAGAACACCTATTTGAACCAAGTAATAATACTAGTAAGGCTTTGAGACGTCAAGCCAGAACCAAGTCTATTCACACCTTTTCGAAGCCTATCATATTGAGGTTTGTTTGAATAGATAGTACTTAAAGTTTATTTATAGTAGTCTGACATTATACATATTAGTCACCAGTTGTTCAACGTACATGCATACTTATTATTTTAAAATTATCCATTTCTAATAATTTATTTGTTATGATCAGCACTTCTCATCCTCGTAAAGAAAATATGGATGATTCTAAATTGAAAAAATTATAATTAAATAATAAGTGACTCTAATGTTTTTATTAATAACCGAAATACAGTCAATACTAGATATAATAAGTTTCAAATACAATAAATTACTATATAAAGAACTTCGAAAATTTGCATAAGAACTATCAATTTGTTACAGAAAGAGTTATAAACAACATAATACAATTATCTATTATCTTCACTACTCGACTCTATATTACTATCATCAAGATTATTTACTTCTTTGTCAATGATAAATAAAAGATTTCCATATTTTAAGAATCCTACATATCGATCAATTACTCGTACATCAATAAACTGCTTTGTTCCAAACTCTCTAAAAAATTTAAGCCTATATTCATCTTCATTCACCTTTTGGGTCCACTGAATTAGTACCATCAAATGTGTATTACTATTAAACTGGTGGGTGAAGTAATATTCTACACGTCCATAAAATTCTTGAACCTCAAATTCTGAAGGTCAATTTTTAAATGCAGCCCACTTGTCTACTTTCATCCATGCCTAAAGATATTATTTGATTAGAATATTGATTAAAGGAAGTTTTTATACTATAAAAACTAACTGCTATTCCAGAGTTTATCCTTACGAAGCTTTTATTTTTTCTTCCCCACATAGAACCAATAAAATCACCGTGTCTATTTTGCATTCGTGCATATTTTTTTCCGTATTCAGGAAGTTTCTAAACATAAATTTTAAATTAATTTAAATTAAAAGGTATATATTTGTTAATAAAATTTTTATATATCTGTAGTATAGTTTTAGCCTCATAACATATTAAATAATGTTTTTTCAATTTATCTACCATTGATTTGTTTAGATTATGCTTTGTAGTTAGAAAATAAAATTTCTCTTCATAATTAGGGTTCGTATATATCATATTATCATTATATTGAATTATTTTATTTTGTGATGGATAAACTTGATGATAGATACTTTCATTGAATCGTAAATGATTCAATCGTTCTCTAAGAATAATTTGATTTGTCAAGTTATTATAAGGATGAAGTTTTGATTGAACGAGGGAGATTAACATCCTACATAATCATTCTATCAGGAATTGCTATGTGCACTAGCAAGGACCATTTGTTTCTATGGTATCAGCCAGATGCAAAAGGTAATGGAAGTATATTTTCATCACTAGCAATCACATTTGATCTTGCTGATAATATGTCCTGTTGATAAAAAAAAAAAAAAACTCATTAAATTTGTTATGAACATTATATAAGTCAAATTAAAAAATTTGATATGTTGAATAGTATACTTTGAATGCTATTTGACATGTCAAAATTTTAATTTTGACTATTATTTTGAACAGATAAATACGATTATATTTACTTTTCATAATATTTATAGAAATCAAGTATTAATCTTCGAATTTCATTAACATCATCTGATGAAATTATTCTTCTTTGACATAATTTCACTGCGGCCACAAATAAGTTCTAC